CCTGACAGAATTCCAACAGTGTATTTGATATCGGCTGCTGTGGTCCCTAGCCTGGGCCTCTCTCTCATTCCCTCGTGGAGCGGGGACCTTTGTGTGTCTCTGTCAGCCTTGGAAATGCCCCTTCTGTGGTTCAGCATGTAACTGCCAGGTACCATGTTGCTGTATGCCATAGATTTCAGGTAGCTTGTTGAATGCCTGCCTCACTGCTTCCTATGGACTGAAGTCCAACAGGTCGTCTGTTAACCATTGCTGTGACCCAGACTCCCTGGAAGTGGAAGCAGACCTCTCTGCCAGCTTCCCTGGGCTTTGGACAAGCACTCTACTGCAACTCATTTCGGTAGCAGATGAAGTGTCCCTGGCTGGAGCCATAGATGTTATTTTGCAAGGGGCTGGGTTGTTGCACTGTCATCTGTCTGTCCAGTTTTATCTTTTGCTGACTGTGAAAGGAATATCTGCGGTTGGCACAAGTAGCCTCTTTAAAAAAAAAGAAGTGGCACTGATTAATGTTTTAAACTGCTTATTAGTATTTATTTATGGAGAGATGGAAAGTGATTTTAAATGAGTGAGAGTGATTTAATTCTCATCAGGTTTTTCATACTGTAATTCTATAGGCAGCTTAAAAAAAAAATATGTGACCCATACATTGAAGTCACTGTCCATGCACTCAAGTAATCATGAAGTGAGGAATCACTGTAATGCAAGGGCTGCAGTTCTGGCTAAACTGGCTTTAACAATCGCACACAAGGACTCTGTTTTCTTCTGACTAAGGGAAAAGGCAAGATTGTTCAGTGACAGCAAGGATTAAGTGTCAAGTATTAAAGCACTTGCCTGCTTTCTACAATTAAACCCTTACTCTTGCAAAGGTTTCAATTCCTTTATGGAGAAACACATTGTTCTTCAATGGGAGTTTTGACTAAGTGTGGTATTGAGAATACAGTCCTATTTTTTAATGATCAAAGAACAATTTCTGCCACAGATACTCAAATTTCAAAATGCCTTCCTCTGTGGCAGAATGCAGCACTGTCTAGAACGAGTATGAGTGGTCTAGCCTGGCTCTGAGGTCTCAGGTATATAATTTTCCATGTAGTCAACGTTGCAGCTATTGCAATCTCAGTTACAACATTTCTGTGGGAGAAACAGCAGTGTTGAACAAAGGTTCTCTGTGTTTTGCTGACCAGAAGGAAATTATTTATTTCCGCATGTTGAAGTGGACCTGGATAACAAAACAACAGAGAAAGCAGTGTGAAACTAACCTGGTTTTACATGGCCTACTAGACTTGATGAGGACAATAATGTGTTACATTTATAAACAATACATTTTAATTTCAGAGCAATGATTGCAGCTTAAATCCACATTTACTTCTTCATCCTTTTTACTTCATTTCTCTATTGTGCTGTGAAACTGTCTATGGATATGGCTAATAGCCCAGCTAAATAACCCTCTCATGAATGGGCTTCATTTATTTATTTATTACTGTAGGATTACTATCAACCAGCTGCAGCTTCTCTAAATGACTGTGGGAAAATTTTCCTTGATAATCTTTAATGCTTTGAAAGACAAATTCAAACATTTGGCAATTTCCCTTCAACATGGAAATTAAACATGAAAACTTACATTTGTTGGCCAAAAAATTTGCCTAGTTGTTTTTTATAATCTTAGAATATCCAGATAAAAGTTCTAAGACATTAACTTGAAAAGCTTGAAAAAAAAGTTGTACATTGTCAGGTAACATCTTCACCCAAGGTAAGATAGAGATTGAAAAAAAAACTTTCTAAGGATTTTAACATAAGGACTTTGTCTAATTCATTGAGCTTTAGTGTTCATACTTGAGAGACTGCAGCTTAGAGGAAATAGTATGAACATGCTTTTACAGACAGACTGATTGATGGCTTCCCATCTGCTTTAAAATAAAACTGTGCTTAAGTGGCTCATTGAATTGAGAGTTAGTGATATTCCTTGAGATACATTTCATTTTTCATGGGAGTGATCACTCCTGCCCACATCTGTAGCACTGTCAAAGCAGCTGTTTATGTTATTGCTACCCAGTCTGACAATTAGACATAGAAGAATTAAATTACACCTTGGTTTGTTTCCTGTTCAAGGAAGGAGTTTTGACATTGACTTTGTAGACAGCAGGCTCAAGCTATATATGTAAGCCATTTTCAGAATAAGTAATGTTGCTCAGTGTCAAAGAAATAGCGTTTCTAGGATCATCTTTCATCTATGGCTCAGTCCCAATGTCCTTACAAAGGTAAAATTTACATTTAGTCTACTGGAAATTTTTTCTGTAAAGTGGCAAGGCTGGCCACACCGTTACCTTTCTAAATGAAGCAAACAGGTCAAAAGTACAGGCTTTGTAACTAAAAGGTGAGTTCGAAACATCTGTAGTAAATAGGACTGGTTCAAAAGCAATTGCTTCCAAGAACAAAAGGAACAAATGAACAATTTCATTCCAATGTTGTGATTTCTTCTCTCCCTCTGGAGTGTGAACCACAATTAGAGCACTTACATAAAATCCCATTTGTCAGCCTGGCTGCAAAATTCCCCTTCAAGCTTTATCCACAAAGAGCAGTCTGTTATCACTCCCACTACAGCCTACAGTTCTCATTTTCACTTTCAGGGACAGACAAGCAATTTCTTTATCTGTATTGAAAATCTCTCATAAAGGTAACTACAGTGAAGCTAGGTAAAGTCAGATCTACACACAAGCAGTTCACAGACTTCATCACCAGCCAGCAAAGACCTGGCTTGGTTCCAGCAGGAGCTATATGAAAAGCTGTTACCAGACAGTGAAGGTATGTCCTGAAGCTGATATTGTCCCACAAATGGATCAATGTTGTAAAGAATGCTCCATCAAGCTGTGAAATACCATTGTCTGTACCTGTTTGCCAGGAAGATACCTCTTCTAATAAGCAAGAGAAAAATTTTCATTCTAAGACCAGAAAGGATGCCCAGGGACCAGAGACCAGCTGTCACTAGAGAGGGTGAATCACAAGCCCCAGTGGCTTCTGGTGCTGTAGGATCTGGTGGAGCCCTAACACCCGAGGACCTTTCTTCCTCAACCCTTCTCCAAGTGCTTTGAAGGTGTTGCATCCTCTCATAATTCATGAGGGGAAGATGCCATTGACAGACATGGCTCTTGCCAAATCCTACTCAGGCCTGACAGATAGATCTTGATGGCATTAAACAAATTCAGGGAGAGAAACTCCGTCTTTCTCAACTGCATAGTGTCCCTGAAGAGCAGTACTTAAGCTATTGGCACCTCACAGATACTTCTTTCCCTTTGGAGATGAATGATGCTTCAATGATACGATGCCACTGCTCCACATGTGTCTGCAAGCAAGCCTGGGCAGACATCACCAGAAAGACTGTACATGTCTGATAGGCCATGGATTGTCTAGGGACCTCTGAATGTGAAAAGAGGAAGTTTATTATTATGAACTATGAATACATATTGATATAGTTGCACGCCATTAGGATATGTGACTGTTGAGGCTCTTAGTAATAGAGAGGGGAAGTTGTACACTTAAATGAGTGCAAAGGTTCCTCAGAAGGTGATGAAGGCTGCATAAATGCCTTGGCAGTTTAGTTATCGACTGATTTTAAAATGTCATATAGTAACTGTAGTTCCTATCATAAATCCAATTGCCTTACATCTGGGTTTGTGTGGTAATCTATACTGTCTATCCTCTGCCATCCAGTCTTAGGGCTCTCTGGACACCTAAAGGGCAACCTCTGAGCTTGCTCAGAAGCAACCACATCCTAGGACCAGCGGTGTCCCTTTCTTGCCTCAGTTTCAGTGCACTCCCAGCAGCATGGAGTTCATACAGAAGCAGTGATTCTGTGCTTTAGCCTTTATTTTGGTAACCCCCCTCTGCCTGCACAGATACAAAGTCTCTCTCTGGTATTTCTCTCATCTGAAAAAAAAAAGGGCACTTGAACATGGGATGGAGGACACCAGGTTCATTAAGCCCCTTTCAGTCTGTTGTGCTTATGCCACTGTGCTGCTAGCAATGCAGGATTCATCTTTCGTCCAGTGGTAGCATAAAATGCATAAACCCTCCAGGGGAAAAGTCCTCAGGACGCCCGACTACCTGCTTGTATCTCAGCACCCAGCAAATGGGCTGGGTTTGGTCTTCCCAGTGCTTGAGCTTCTGCTTGACTGCACTGTCCCCAGGTTTCCCCAGAGAGGATGCCCTCCACCGCCACCTTCGTCCCCCACCACCACCCTGGGAGACAGGCTGCTCTGCCAGGGTAGCCGGGAGGTCCCTGGAGTCATGGCACTAAGCTAGACCCCAGGTCTTGCATTTCAGCTGAGCCTCTACTGTGCAAAGGGAGCCTGCATCCCAAATGTAGGGATGTGCCTACCGCAGGTGTTGAAGGTTCAGATGAGCAGGACTTCGGGCACCTCTTGGTACATTGTTTTTTGTTGACTGGCTCCAGACAGCATCATAGTCAGCATGCAAGCTGTTCGCGCTCCTGTTCAGCTGTGCCTCACACTGCCTGTTTCTGGAGCCTTAGCCTGCAGGTTTTGCCGGATCACTCTGATGCGCTATGTGTCAAAACTGTATGTGACACAAGACTGGCACCGTAGGATCGTCTGGATCTTGCCTCATTAGTATATGGGAATACATTTTCAGATTTACATGAAAAATCAGCCTGGCCCCACACTAAACAGATAATATAAACTCAAAATACATCTGTGTAAATCATTTATAATTCCAGGCAGGGTTTTATCATCATTTTGCAAAAATTGTTTTGGTTGGTTGATAGAATTTTCTTGTTAAAATCCAAGCCATTCTGAAAATCACTACACTGGAAACATATATTTCACATTTGAAAGTAACTGCAGTTATTTGTGCTGCCAAGGGCTTTGAAATATGGAAATGAGAGGTTTATTTAGTGTGTGGATCAAGCTTATGAACAGCTTAAGTCCTCATTCCTTCTAACATCTTAACAGCTGTGCAGTTTCTTACAAAATATGTTTTATCGTTTCAAGAAATGCTGTTAACCTCGCAGTTTTAAAACTGAATGAACAAGGCCTCTTGGACAAATTGAAAAACAAATGGTGGTACGACAAAGGAGAATGTGGCAGCGGGGGAGGTGACTCCAAGGTTAGCCTCAATGTCACCAAAAGCGGGTAAACAGTATGTAAAGTAATTGGTGCATCTGCTGGGGTCTTACCTGCGACGAAACAGCTTCACCAGTAGCACAGCACTGCTGATACCTGCAGTTGAAATCTAGGTGTATGCAATTACTGTCAAAGCAAAAATATTTGCATTTGTTTAAGCACCCCAAGGGGAACTCGTAAACAATCTCTGCTGTGAGATCTATCACCAGTTTTCAGAAACCTGCATCTTCTGAAATTGTGATGAGCCTTTTCTAAACTGGCTCTTGTCAACAGGCAGTTTGAAACCTTCAGGAACCAGTACCAGCTCAGACTTATTTTCTACTATATTGTACTACCCAAAATAATTTTCAGGGACAGTAAAGGAAAAGGGTGCAAATCAGCGTGAATGCCTTCTAGCAATAATCTAATGCATGGTCCAGGCTCAGGGATCTACTATTGACATAAACAATACTGGTACAAATTACAATTTTCACATGAGTATCCAAAATTAGAGGGCAAATTTCAGCTAAAATATCTTCACACTGACATCTTACAATGTCTTACCAGCAAACTGAAATCCAGTTGGTTCCCTAGGCAGAATTTATCAGAATTTATCAGGCAGGAATTTTAGGCTGAATTTTAGGCTGAGGTGATGACAGCTTCTTATTCTTCCTGCATTTCTGTATCTTCCACATGACCAACTACTTCCTTGCCTCCTCACAGCTTCCTTTTGGGAAAACTGTCTTGTGCTGGAAAGAAGCAAAGATGTGGAAGTGGAAGATGTTGAAGTGGGGGAGCATTAAGATATTAAAAATACCCCTTCCATACCAGGCAGCATGTAATAATATTTATTTATGTGCTTGTGTGTGAACAATATATAAAAGAATGCTGCACAGGTAACTGTGCAGGCACAGAGCTAGTCAGATATAGATCATTAAATTTGACTGATTTGTCATACACAATTTGTGTAGCTTTCTTTACAGTTGCCTACATATATTTATTCTTACTATTTTCCCTCCTTCTTTAGACCTCCTCCTCTTTCATGCTGTGTCCTGGCCTCACGGACCATCCCTTGGGCTGTTCTGCACTCACCCAGAACTGGTGTCCTAATCCTCATTTTGCCTTTGATCCTGCTGCTCTACCTATTTCTTCCCCACCGCTCTGCTTGCCAGCAGTCACAGTTTCAGAAATGGTCTCTATTTTCTCTTCCAAAGTGCTTAGGCATATTAGACCTGATAGCACTTACCTGCAAGTGGAGCAGACACCAACTTCACCAACAAGTGAACCAAAAATCTCCCATGTTGCTACTATTGTATGCTCCACGCAAGCCTGAACTTTTGCATTATTGGGGGACATATGTTTATTTAATTTTTTTAAAATGTCACATCATTAAAATACCTCAATTTTCTTCTAATATACTCCTCACAAACCTGCTGTGGTTGAAAGGTGAGGGAAAAGCTAGGTTGCAAAATAAAAATGCTTTCAACTTGCTTTCCCTGATTGCCAACCACTGGTTCTTTGAGTCACAAAGGAGGAAAAGAGGAGCAGCTCATGGCAGAGGGACAGGCAGGGCTTCACCAAGGATAATGCCTAGAAGGCACTGAAGAAGCAAGTTTAGTGTGATGGCAAGTGACAGAAAAAGGAGTGGGGGGGGGAAATAGAAAGCAAAGGCAAGGGGTACAGTCCGTGGAGAAACAGGGACGAGGCCAGGCTGGATGAGGCTTTGAGCAACCTGGTCTAGTGGAGGGTGTCCCTGCCCATGGCAGGGGGGGTGGAACTAGATGATCTTTAAGGTCCCTTCCAACCCAGACTAATCTATGATTCTATGATCTCTGAATGCAGGAGGGAGTTAGGAACACATTGCCAATGGAAATGAAAAATAGGTGACACAGGCAGTTCAGGATACCATAGAAAATATGGTGGGTAATGCAGCATTAGCAAAGGATGGGTAACATGATGGAGTTTAATCTGTCATCCTAGGACTATATACAGCCTGCCAGGAGCATTCATCTGACCTCAGGCCTGTTTCTTGCCACACTTTTTCCTAGGCACAGCAGAGTGAGTAGGCAGTATCTGTGCACAGGGACCATATATGTAGAGAGAAAGCCCAGTGCTTCTGTCTATCATGCACCCACACTGCCCACTGTCCATTTCCTTGTTCAGGATCAGTCTTGTAGGGTCTAATCAATTAAAGTCAATAAGACCCTTTTCGATTGAATTAATGGAGCTCAAGATATTTTAATATTTTATGCTAGCAAATGATTATTAGTGGAATAACCAGGACACCGTGCACTGGTGTTGTAAACCTGACAGCTACCAACAAGTCCTGAACTGAGCTTTTAAGCATCTCTAGCTAATGCTCCTTTTCATTGTATGAATTTAAAAAGAATAAACCCTGACCTTTGTTAGCAGCTCCAGTCCAAATTACAGGGTTTCCTACTGTCATGAGCAAGAATAAGAACATCTCTCTTTTCCTGAAAGAAATACAGCACCTGAGGCTTGATTGATAACTGTACTGTTACTGTCTGAGATTCACTAGTCAGAATATGAGAATCTAGACCCAGAATAACCCTTCATGATAGAACAGAGGACTATAGAAATCAGGGAGTTTCATGAGAGCTCAGCAGTTCTCCGAAGGTTTGTGTTGCTCTGTAAAACAAAATTTCTCCTATCTCCATTCTGTACTCTTAAAAGGTCATTTCCAGCCTCCCCATTTATTGTTCCCCTTAAGGGACAATATTCCAAAATTCAGAAAGATGGTTCAGAGAGTTGCCCTGTGTGAACTGCCTATGGTTTGGTGGCCTCAGTAATTAAGTCATGCTTTAAGATAGAACTGAGGTCCCCAAGTCAGTTGAGTGCTTTTGAAAGTAATACCCCAGATCTTAATTATATGCCATCATCATTTCATGTGATGCATGGGAAGGTATTTAAACACAGTTTCTGATGCTCTGCTCCACTGTTTTTATAAAAGTGTGAGTGGAAGGAAGCTGTGCTGGTAGAGCTCTCCTCTGGTCTCTGCTGGCAGCCCTCAGGAGAACACAATGACCCTTGTTTTTTATTCAGCAGATGAGACTGACCTTACACTTAATTAATGACTCAGCCATGAGCGAGTAATGAAAATGCTCCTAAAGCATACTCGTGATTGCATTCTTTAAATCCTTGTCTACCAAAATTCTGTATTGGTTTCAGAACTGCTCAGTATTGTCATTTAAATGCTATAACTGCCCATTCGTTGTCCTGAACACAACTAATTCAGAACTTAATTAATGCTGTTTTAAAGCACTGTGATTTCGCTGATGTTGCTGGCACAAGATCCAGCCCGAGGCTCTGAAAACCCATCCGGTCCAACAGCAAGTGATTGATGACAGGATAGGAGGAAATGAGTAAGAAGCTGAGCGGGGAGGTAGAAGGGCTGAGAACATGATGAAAAGGTAGGAAACCAGTGTCCCTGTGCTCAGGTTGGGCTGCACCAACACTGACTTCAGTACGTGGGTGAACTGCAGGGTCTCCTCTGCTGTCACACAGCAGTTTTGCACTGTGGCTAAATTTTTCTCCATATATAGAGGTTAATTTTAGATTTTATTTTTCATATATTATCCTTACATGCATTTAAGGCAGATGGGTCCTGTTTGTATATAACAAAGGAGATTCTCAGCAGCTGTACATTGGAAAAACTACACTGATTTTCACAAACTCTGCCAGTTTACTTTAGTTGAAGATTTAGCCCAACATCAGTAATTCAGGAATCAATAAACAACTTGAAAAAAAATCTATAGTAATTTTTCCATTGTAATATTGATTATACAAGACTGAACTTGATGGGAAATTTAATTCTAAATGCTGGATTTATCCTCTGTATGTAACTCTAGTACATTGCTCTTGCTCATATACAGCAGACCATTCTGACCTTTGGCTTCTGGCCCCTTTAATGTCAATGGGACTATTCACCAACCAATTGTGTAAGCGGTGTAGTAACAAGTCTTAGTCTCTGAATTTGTGACTGGCACAGTCAAAATGATGCTTATTCAGAGAGAATATTTTCAAAGAACGGGAAGACGCCTAGATATGCAACTTGCCCTGAAAGCCACAGTGATTTGGGGATTCATCTCCCATGGGAGCTCTTGAAAATCTCCTACTAAAATGAAAAAAAAAAAAAAAACAGACAAACAACAAACAAAACAAAGTCTAAAAGACATGAAAAGTCACCAGATATGTATGTTGCTATTCTGAAAAACATAGGCAAAAATGTCCCTTTTCCGCTCTGCAGCCCCTCATTCTGGGCTTCTCATATTGGACTGTGTACGTTTCCAATCACAGCTGACTGATTTAAAGTGGGACAAAAATCCTGCTCTGAAAGCATAAAATATTTTTAAATTTAGTTCAGGGGTGCCTAGGGCTGTCTGAGGGGAGATGTAAAGGTCAGTAGTGCAGAGGAGAAACAAGGGCCTGGCCTCTGACACATCACTGGCTGTATTTCCGTGAAAAGTGGGAACTGCCTCATCTCTGCTGGCCATTGCCATTGTGTTCAGTTATATATTGAGGACAGCACGGCAATTTTAAGTGTGAAAATGATTGCTTTTCTCAAAGGAAAACCTGAGAGCTTCCTTGCAGAGACAATGCAGAAAGGATGACAATAAAAGAGCTACAGCTGTAAAGAAGAAGAAATCCCTGCCTGTATCAGCCTTTATATGTATAAACTGTTAGCACTGAGAAAGCAAAGGACAGGGAGACATCTGTTTTCTGATGTGTCCCAGCTTGCTGCTGGTCTTGATAGTTCATATAAAGTCCTAATTATCACTTTAATCAGTTTAATCTGCAACAACTCCACAGGCTTCTGATTTTCCACATGTGAGCAGTACCGGGATGACCCTTATCTTTGTCATAACCAGCCCTGTTACACTGCTGGAATTTAGGAGCACTGAAATATGGCTCAGTGCCAATGCATGACATGTTACAGATGATGGCTATCCAAAATATATTACTTATTTCACACTTGTGCTAGGAGCAAACAGAGGATCATATTGGCAGGCAACTTTCCAGAATCCCAAACTGGTGCCCACTCATTTCACAGCTATGTGACTCTCATATTCCACTATCAACCTGTACAACCTGCTGCCAGGAAGCCTGAAGACAAAATCTAAGTTTTAATACTCAAAAAGATGAAGAAATAGGCATTTTCTCTTCTAGAAGCAGAGTATTCCATATGAATTAAATGTGTGAGATTTGGAAAGCAGATGAAACATTTTCTTTACTTAAAGGGGTCACTTGAGAGTAGCTGGCAATCCTCTCACCCACTGTAGCTGTCAAAAATTGTCACTTCACCAAGGCACCAAGGCTTCCTCAGTAATAAATGAAAAGAGACAGGCATTTCAACAGCATGCCTCATCCTTTCTTAAAACTGATATGTAAGCCCTCCTTTTGGAGGTACCTAACTTTTCCGTTAACTACAGGGAAGCCTAGACAGGCAGCCAATCTTGGGGCATAACTTCTGGGTGGACAAACTGAGGTGAGGTGAATCCCCCCCTTTATGTATATATACAAAGAGTAATCAGAATGTATGAAAAGACAGGATCCCTAAAGCTAAGAGTAGCATATGAGGTTCAGGAGCTGCTATTTGTATATTAAATATATATATATAAACATGCACAAGTATATTAATATATAAGCATTTGGTGATTTCCAGTTAAACCAGTTAATTAGTGTAACTACAAGCCCTATCTCTTTCATAGTAACTATTTTGATGGGTTCAGTTACACTATATTAATTAATGCTTGAGCTGGTTTGTTAATTAATTGATTTATTTATTAAACCTTTAATTCATGAGTTAACATTTTAGCGATGTATGGATTACAGTGTATTATGAGAGATTAATTTTCGCATAGGAATCCACTGGCACACACAAGATCAGTTCCTACCTCATATGCCATCACCAGGACATCTATCACATGCTATTCTGTTTATCTACTCCTTCTCTGATATATATTGTATTTTCATGCACAGCTGCACATAAATAGATATCCATATGCCTACCACATTAAGAATTTGACAGTGATTCAAAGTGGAAAGTACATAAAATAAGTCTGTTAATCATTTCGTAGGTTTTTAGAAAATGAACTGCTGCAACTACATGAAGTGGGGCATTGCCATAATACTCTGAGATTATTCACTGAGTTTAAGCAACTTCAGTGTAAACCCATAGCAGTTTACTAAATCATCAGATTAGGTTCCATCTCAATATTAAACTCTGTTGCATCACCCAGAGCAAATACCACAAGTAAGAGAAGATATTCCAAGTGGTGATTTATCATCAGCCTGGGACCCTTGAAAGACTTATTTGAATAAGTGAGATTTAAGGAGAAACTTTGAATTTGAAACTAACTCTGAAACAGGAAATGAAAATGAGAGATTGACTGTCATGTTCTTCAAAACGGAGGATAAGGGCACCACGGCTCTCTCCTAAGTTGTCTGCATGCAGATCTCCTGATGCCTGCAGCACTCTGCACCGAGGGCAATGACAGGTCTGTGCCAAGTGGTTATGGGCAGCAAACTGCACAAAGCAACTCCTCTCTCTTGCCAGCATAATTTTGAGGGCAGTAAATGAAATAGCTGTAGCCAAGTCATATTATTAGTTTGTATGCTTACAAACTACAAAGAGATTGAAAGCAAGGAACACAAATGAATATGTTTCGTAAGTCGTATATCCAGTTGTATTTTATATATATATCTCTGAATACTATGTTGTTTATATGTCTAAGCCAATAGTTTTGAGTTCACAGTAATTGCATACTATTTATTTACAAATCTTCCCCAGCAGTATGTGCCTGTTACCTAAAGCGATGGAGCAGGTCCCGGTCGTATGTCTGTCTCTAAACCTGGGCCAACAGTACATGACATAGCACCCGCTGTGGCCTCTGCTCTGTCACTTTGCAATGCGATTCTATGTAGTTTTACTTGAATAACATAAAATAACATATATAATGTTATTTATGTTATTTTCCACGTGAAGAACTCCTGTAAACCTTGCCGTTTTGAAACTCAGTGAGGCAGGCGTCTTAGACAAGCTGAAAAACAAATGGTGGTACGATAAAGGTGAATGTGGACCCAAGGACTCTGGAAGTAAGGTCAGTCGCTGCAGTTCGGGACCTACTATCATGTTCACAAAGCAGTAAAGGAAGTAATACACAAAATGACTTAGAAATAAAATAAGCAGCTGTAGACACAGAACAAATGACCTTGATGGGGGTCACACTTTAATTTAAAGAAGCACTATTGCTTTTTAAAGTCTTCAGTGATATAAATCACCAAACATCGTCCTACATATTCAGGGCATCTGCTGAGGAGTTGCAAGGCAGTTTTTTGGTTTTGGGGGAAGCAGGTTGGGTTAGTTGTTTCTGTCCTGCCTGGGGGGATAGACTTTCCCCATTGACTACTTAGGAAATGTCCCTTCACACCTTCTCCCTTGAGAGCTGGCCTCCCTCAGCAATTTTGTGAAAAGGAAAAATGCTATCAGGAAGGGTTGCCTTTCATCACTGCCCAGCATGGCTGTGCCTGGCTCCTTCTGGGAAGGTCTCTGGCTCCTTGAGGAGCCAAGGAGGATTTAACTTGAGCTTTGAAGTGTAAAGCTTCGATAATTAACAGCTTCCAGTTTACCGTAGTCCATTCCCGAACAGTAATCCTGACAGCTCCAGGGAGTGGAGCCTTCTCTATTTCTTCCTATCTGGGGACAAACAAAGATATAGGTATTTTCTGATGGCTGGGAAAGCACCACAGTCTTTGCCAGCCCTGTATTTGGGGAGCCTGAAATTTCTTCACAGTGCCTGTCTCTGTGCCAGCCTCTGCTGTCCAGAGATAAAAGGAAAGCGTGACGGGCAGCGACTGCTTGCTGCCTGTGTGCCCTGAGACTTACCCAGCTGCATAGCGGGTAAAATTAACCTGGGAAACAAACTTCCAACACATTTTGCTTTTTCTGGCAATTGCTTTGGAGAGAGGCGTGAAAAGCAGTTAAGAGGAGGGCAGAGTACCTGTGCCTGACAGCTGAGAAAGCCTCAACCCACCACCTATGCTAGGTCAGGTCTTTCTCAGTCCTGCCTCCTCCTTGTTTGCAAGCACCATGTTAGCAATGGGACCAGAGGAACACAGTCACCTCCAAGATATTTAAAGTCCTCTTAGCCAGCTAAAATGAGACAGACAAAACAGAACCCGGCTATAAGCCCCAAACGCCGTTATATGTCCATGGGAATTGTTAGTGTGCTAATGTACTGATTACACAATAAATAGTGCTTCTTTAAATTAAACATCCAAATGTTTTTCGTTCTTCATAAGTTAAAATTTCATAGAGTTTATAATTGGAAGTTAAGTACTCTCCTTACTTTAGGTAAAGATTATATAGCCTGCATACGAATAAAGCTTTATAAGTATCTTAAGGGGCACGATGTAGTATATAAAAGTCCATCCTGAGAAAGTTCTTGAGAACTGTGCTAAAAATGCACATGGTTTTCAAATAAAAAAAATACATCATTCATAACTAAGCAGTGAAGTATAGAGAAATGTAGAATAGTTATTTACTACAGTACGTCCCAGAAGGTGATTGTTTATAAAATATTAATAAATATTGTTTATAAATATTTAATAATTCGCTAAAAAAAGTTCTCACTGTTGTCTAAATTATGAATAATGTTTAAGATTTCATAAACTGCTATTTAAAATTATACTATTAATGAGCCTTAGTAGTCCGTGGGCATGTTCCAGAACTGTATCTATAATAAAATAGAAACAACAGAATAATCAGTTAGAGGCAAATATATCATGATGTGTATGGTACAATGTGCCCTTTCAAAGGAAGTGTTTGTTCAAAGAAATAACTTAAGCCTCACATGTTATTTTCACTTGTCATTTAAGTATCAGAAACTCAGTCTGGATCTTTTAAATTAACAGCAATGCCTACCACAATTACAATTACTGTTTTCATTGAGATCAAGCAGAGTCTTGTCTAATGTAAATGGATTTCTGGATTCCAAAGCTTTTAAAGAGCTTTACATAAATGCAGTTTCATATCAGTGCAAAAATGTCACCTAAAGAGAGCCAGACATGTCATTGTTTAATTCTCCACTTAGTGGAAGTAAGGCTTTGCAGCAAGCAAGCAATGACATCCTGATATGTTGGCAATATACTTATAATATTTTCTATGCCGACCAGGAAAACTAAGTCCTTAAAATATATTTTATAGATCCAGATAGGTCAAATTTGGTAAGAAGTATGTAATTGACTGTCATTTAGTTTCAGCTAAGCCTTGTTATTTATTTGTATTTCCAGTGTTTTAACTTGTAGCTTGTGCTTCCATGGGTCTGGTTTCCAAGGTTAACTGTTTCACTTCTGTTTCCCCAGGACAAGACGAGTGCCTTGAGTCTCAGCAACGTTGCTGGAGTCTTCTACATTCTGGTTGGAGGCTTGGGCTTGGCAATGCTGGTGGCTTTGATAGAGTTCTGTTACAAGTCCAGGGCAGAGGCGAAACGAATGAAGGTGGCAAAGAGTGCACAGACTTTTAACCCAACTTCCTCGCAGAATACCCAGAATTTAGCAACTTATAGAGAAGGTTACAACGTATATGGAACCGAAAGTATTAAAATTTAGGGGTAGGACTTAGGGCCTACTACAGTGAGTGGGTGATGCATCTTGTAACGCAGTGTTGTGACATGTCTGTCTAGTGGTGCTTGCTTCTGAACAGAGCTTTATATTTTGGAAAACTTCACTGCGAAGTGGTTCAGTTTTTTTGGCTGCAGATGTACAGTATACTATTCTATGTTGCTAATAGACATCTGCATTGCAATGAATTTTTAACATAAAAAAATACATTTTTAACAACTTAATGTTGTCAAATCAGTTGGGAGATAACAACTATTTGAAATCGTAAAATTATATTCAGAGGGACAGTGTTTAATTACTTGATTGGCCAGTCTATTTTCCTGAAGATTTGCACTCTAGTGCTGACAAATTGCTGTAAGCCTTTATTATCCAACATTGTCCCTAACTGGGACTTCGGTATAATCAAGATTTAGGATAGGCAATGTCACTGAACCATAGTTAGCCTAACAGAAGACAAGGCACTGTTACAAGAAGTCTAAATGTTGTTTTACCTTCTCTCCCTCCTCCATACCCTATTCCTTCACCCTTCCTTTGATACGTGTTTTATGCTAATTGTGTGGCATTTTTTTCACAATATCCTGCTTCAGGTCAACCTTAGCCTACTATAATAACCACAAAAAGTCACTAACCAGTGAATAGACCCTGATTATCATCCTCAGCTTTCAGTAACACACCCCCTTACCTAGCTCAGGACTAGTGTATTTTAGATGTACACGCAGTGATGTCGGGGACT